ATCTTATCTCTTAGATCTTGAAAATTAAAAAAAAAAAGAAGCTCCAGCAGTGCCCTGTGTCAAATTTAACCAGAGGAAATAACACTTTTCTTTCTGCCTGAGGTAAGAGAATAGGTTGAGTTAATAATAAAATGTTTGTATGTGGCGGGGAGAAGTGGGAGGATTGATTTCAAACCATAGACATATTCTCATTTGGGCATGAAAAGTTGGGACTTTCCATTTGTGTGTATTCCTTTTGTGTTTACCGACTATCAAATGTCTGGTGATGTTACTCATAGGACTGAAATAAATGGATTGGTTGCTTAGCTTTTAAACTTCACCCAGGATTTGGATGGTACCAGTCCTTTTTTTAAAACAGTGTGAGAGTTGGTGAGAGAACTATTTGAGCCTGAGAAGCCACCTTGGACCCCGGAAGGCTTCATACATATTAACTCTTTTTAATGACTGACAAGTTCTAAGGATCTTTTTTTGTTTCCATCCTGGTAATAAGCAAGCCGGTTCTGGGACTTTCAAATAAATTGACCAAGATTGCACAGTATTACAAGTTTCGAACAGGAAAACCCAGAAACCAAGTTCTGGGAAGACGCTTTGCTCCCTGCACCCGATGGAGCCCAGCGTGTGACAAGCGAGGAGAGCCAACTGTGAGACAGGACACTATTCGGCCCCCTTTTGCTATCTACACGGTATCAGTTGGCTAAGAAAGGGTTGGAGTAAGATGTGAATTTCAGTTCTTTTAGGGGTCTGAAGTGTATGGAAACCCCACGTTATTTGTCCCTTTCTTTTAAATAGACACATAAGGGTGTGTGAATGCAGACATATATCCACACTTCCTCATGGGGAGCTACTACAGGCGCTGCCTGTGACGAGGCATCCTGCTGTCTCTCAGCCAGGAGGCAATGAACAAAACAGACATTGTTCCTGACTTAGAAACTTACATTCTGAAGAAGAAAACAGTTATTGAGTCCTCCCTGATGGCTCACTGGGTTAGGACACAGCACTGCAAACCAGCGGCAGTTGTTTCAGTGTGAGTTCCATCCCTGGCCAGGGCAGTGACCCACATGGCGTGGCAGACCTCACTTGTCTTGCCTGTTGCTCCCCTCAGCAGTGTACTTCATTGATCTACCTGTTCTGCTCCCCACTCTGTCTCCCCGTCCCTGCACCTCTGGCCTGTACCCCAGTTCTGTATGCATAAATAAATAAATCCTTAAAAAAATAGATGAGAATTTTGGTGTGGTGATTGATGAAAGCAGCTGGATCTCTCTCAGTCTCTTTCTCACTCACACACACACACACACACACACGCACACACACAGTCATGGGCAGATGTCTCTCTCACACACACATCTTCATATATCATAGACTGTCTATTCATATCATGTGAGATCTTCTAGACATTGTCCACAAGTTTGACCTTGGAGACAAGACTTAGTCTATCAGTCCTATGATATTCCAGGCTCTCTTGTATTAGAAAAAATTAGAGAACTAGGGATTTTTTCTGGATGTAAAAATTTATTGGCTTAAAATGTTATTACCTTTAAAAGTACATGGCTGATAGTTCTGAGAAGACTTGGTGACTCTAGTCAAGGATATGACAATTTCCTGGGTCAACATTTTTTTAAAGTCTGGGTACAAGAATATTTTTTTAGAAACTCCTTTGAAGGATAGACAGGTACACTACTTTTTAAAAAGTGTTTTCCCTGATGAGGTATTGTTGTTTCCACAGATACCACTGACACAGGCGATGCACAGCAGGACCCTGCTCTTGGTGCTTCTGGCACTCACATTTCACAGTTCCTGGGGTATGTAATTATAATTACTCATGAACATGTTTCATTGGTAGTTCAGGGGGAAAGTTAAATTTGCTTTTTCTTTTTTTAAGATTGATTTATTTATGCATAGAGAACTGGGGTATAGGCCAGAGATACAGGGGTGGTGAGAGGATTCACCAGACAGAATGGGGGATTCACCAGACAGAATGGGGAACAGAACAAGCAGATATACTGAAATACACTGCTAAGGGGTGCAGTGGGCGAGGCAGGAGAATGATGTCTAATAAAAACTCATATGGGATACTAAAAAAGACGAGTTAGCCCTCGTCTAACTTATATAGTAAGTAATTTATGTAGTAAGAACAGGATGAAGTAAATTACCTTTGTCTGAGATGAAAATATGCTTGGTGTTATTTGAAATCTAAGAAGTCACAGAGGGGAAGAGAAGAGGCTGGGAGAAAAAGGGGAGAATTTAGGTGCGGGGAGAGAGAGAGACTGACTCGCAAGTGCAAACAGACACAAAAAGCATAGGCACAGCCCGGGGAGTGACTAGGTTAGATAGACCAGGTAGACTGCTTGGGAGCAAGATAAATGAGCCTACTGATGGTCTAGGTAGATGCCTTTCCATGAAGACTTCTCAGTTAGGAATATTTTGGGTTGAGTCGTACTATAACTTCTGTGGTTTCCTTATGAAGAAATGGCATTGTGTAACATACTCTGTTAAGTAGAGTATTTATCTGTCCTGTAGGCACAGTAGGTTAAGTTCCGGTACTTTCCTGTTTGGGAGAAGCTATTTGAAATACTGCCTCATGTATGTTCTGAAAGGGTCTTAGGTGTTGCAAAGATGGATTTTCTGTCTCTCAGTTTGGGAACATGGGTGCCAAAGTAGGAAATCTACAGGATTGAGACACAAATTTCTCAAAACTTTCTTACGACAGTACTTATTTTCCTAAACCTTTGAAAAGTAAAAAAGGAAGTTACCTTTGTCTTTTTTTTTTTTTCTTTTACTTTGCTGATCTTTTGAAGAAAGTTGTATTTCACGTACTAATGTCACCGCAGCCGAAGGGGAAGCTTTCCATCTGACATGTTGTCCTGAGCACCCATATGAAACAAACACCATAAAATGGTACAAACATGATCCCCATGAACCCATTGAACTAAATTCAAGCAGTTCACCCAGAATTGTTCTACGTGGTTGTGCTTTGGAATTTTGGCCAGTTGAGTTGGATGACAGTGGAACATATACTGTCCAAACAGGGTGAGTATACCCTTGCTTTGTGGTGGTTTGTTTCATAGCACTCTTGGACTTTGTTCAACAAATCATCAGTAATTTGAGAGGTTACATAATCCTTACCTTTTCCGTCCTCTACTCTTCCAACAATATGGAATGATTATTTCATTATTTAAGAACAAAGTTAAACACTGCCCCTGTGTTTATCAGTGATTTTCATAAAAATAAATGTCCATAATATGATTTCCTACAGGAAGTCCTCACCAAAGATAAGTGACGATTGAGTGAAATTCACTTAAAATTCCACAGTTCTGTTGTCTACAATCGCTGGTGAAATGAGATACATGGCAGAGGTGTGGTAATGTTACTAACATATGGGGAACAGTCTCCTGAGTTGTAGTCTCAGGCTGGAGAAGGGACTGGAATTGGTGTAGATAATTTTCCTAATCCAGTTTTCAGGGGTTTGTTGAAAGCTAGGTGGCAGTGCTAGTGGAGGACCTATGTGCCTGGCAGCCAAACAGCCTACAGCTGGGAACAGGCGAGAGGGACCACAGGTAGGACTAGGTTGTAACTCTTGATTCTGACTGGGTACTCATAACTAAGGATCATAATGCCTATGAAATGACACCAACCAACTGAATGTGTCAGGGATATCGCTGGACTTGGTTCTCTGTATATTTGTTAGGTTATTTGGAATAACTGGAACAAGGACTCTTTTGTGGTATTGACTCTTAGAACATTGATGATGTAGTGTTTATCTCATACATTTGTAATGTTATGCACATACTTAGGTGTATGAATATAAGTCATACTGAATATATACATCTGTGTGTATGGTATCTATGTATTTATGTATCTATCTATCTATCTAATCTAGATTTGAAAGTCGATCTGCAGGCCCTGTAGAAAACAGTCCAGGCTGGAAGGGCGGGTGTGTGGCGATGCTATGCTGTCAGAGGAGCATCTTTCTTCCATGGGCTCCTCTGGGCCCTGTGCTTTTGAGAGCTGAGTGTGAAATCACAGTGAAACATTGGTTTCACTATTCTTGTAGTTTTGCATAAATGGAGGTCATTTTGGCTGTTTTTATACATAGAAAATTCTAGAAGTAAGAAAGAACCTGGAGAAGTTTTTTTTGAAAAAATTTTATATCATCTTTTAAGAGTGATGGTTCCAGAAATGGCTTACAATTTGGTCTTTTCACACCAAGCTAAGGAAGAATGAATCTGCATAAATGGAATAGAGAGGAAAAAAAGCTATTCAATTCTACTGAGTAAAGGTGTTGTACATGAAGTAAATTTTCTGGGCAGGAGTGAGTAAATTGAAGTGTTTTTCATCTGCAAATGTCACTGGGAGACAGAGACAGAGCTCTCTGATAGCCTGGGTGATGAAGAAAAATTGGAATCATCAGGTAGATGTAGGATGTCAGAGGTACAAGGAGAGGCTAAGAGAAGCAGAACAGCGAGGTGGCTCACAGTAGCTGTAGTGATGGAGGTTATTCGAGGATGAAGGATGATGTGGGATTAAAGTGATAGTGAGAGGCGCAGCCTTGACCATGGTTTTGAAAATAAATGGGAACTGGCATGAAAGTAGGTTGCTTTGCATACTTGGGTGGACTGAAGAAAAGGAGCTGTACAAATACAGCACAACAAGCAAATTTCCAACATTAATCGCCACTGTCACAGAAGGCACATGTGAACACACACGTGTGCACATGTGAGCATGCAATTACACATTGATTTAGGTCTTTTTTAAAATTTTATGTGGGGTCATCGATAACCAGACTCTACTCCTACAATCCTCCCATTAGAACAATGATCCTTTGATGGTCCAGAGAGCTACTGTATCCACTAAGCCTGTAATGAAAATCACTCTGGCAGAACAATTTTAAGGAGGAAATGCACTCAGAGAAAGGGAATGCAGAGAGTGATTTGATGATAAAATTGAATAAAAATAGAAAAGCACAAAGAATTCCTATAATCAATGCCTCATGTGACAAGCAGTTTAGCTTGGTAAGGGCTCTCAAAAGAGGGGCTGAGAGCTGCTGAAACTCCTGAGTATGGCCAAAAGTGGCTTTTCAAACCAGGATGGACTTGCTCTGTTGGGCGTGCAGATTGATGGTCACAGCCCTGGTTCTGAGCTCTTTCATGGCATGTTTTCTGGTCCAGGACCTTGGGCATGGATGTGTAGCCAGTCAGTATTTGCTAAATGTGAGGCACTGAAGTTTGAGGGATGGAGAACAATTTGACCTAATACAATGGGAATGTGGGTGTGCCCTCTTCCTTGTAAAGAAGACCTATAGAAGCATTTGTCTGTTCAGCATAGTGAGGCTAAAATCAGGGAAACATCTCAGAAGAGGAAGCACCGATGGGATTTTGAATCCTTTACAAGAACCAGGTGGCTCTAACATGTCCAATAACTGTTGATCCAATGCCTTTAATTTTGGGAAAAGCTTGTCCCACCCCTCAAACTCTTCCTACCCATGTCACCCATGCCTGGCCAGACCTGTGTCACTTTGTTTCCAAAGGGTAGGGTCAGATTCACATTGTCGTGAAAACACAGTATTGTGACAAGCACACCTGACTAAGGGCTACAGGTGTGCTTTTGCATACTGACCCCTTTGGCTTCCAGGTGTGTGACCTGAAGCAGACCATGAAACTTTGATGCAGTGTTCCTTTCTCCTCCATTATAAGGGAATAATCAACCTTCATTGTACCTAAGCATTACCATATTTAGACCTAATGACATGGACTGGAATGACTGCCCTGAGAAATAGAAAGTCTAAAATGTATAGATAAAATATTTGGAAAACAAGCCCTGACTTTATAGATCTCATATAACAAGCACTATGCTTTCCTGTTTTAGGTTATGAATCTCTGAATAATCCATCTCAAATATCACTGAAGATTAAACTTTCTGTTCTAGTATCTCTACGGTTTTCAGTTGTGAGTGTGTGTGTGTTTAGGACTGCTCAGCTCAGGTCTTCTTTTTTCACCTCTTATTCTTAACTCATGAAAATTGTTAAATTTTTCACTGCACTGAACCAAAAAGAAGAGCAGGGTTTAGGCATCATTAAATGAATCTTTTTATACCGATATAAGGAAACAAATTTCACTGAATTGGTTCTATTTGCCATGTCTCTATACTAATTATAAAATATATTTGTGTGAGGATTCCCTGGTGGCACAGGGGTTAAAGTCTTAGCACTATTACGTTACCAGAGGCCACTGCAGCCTGAGCTTGATCTCCAGTCAGGGAGCTGACCCACATGACACAGCAGACCTCTCCTGCCTCGCCTGCTGCTCCTCTCAGCAGGGTTTTTCAGTAGATCCACCTGTTCTGCTTCCTACTCTGTCTCTGGTGAATCCTCTCACTTCCCACATCTCTGGCCTATACCCCAGTTCTTGTATGCATAAATAGATAAAAATAAATATTATATATATGTATATGTATGTTATATGTGCTAATTATCTAATTATAAAATATCTTTAAAACTCTTTTCCCAGATATTCTAATCATACATGGACATTAAAGGTCATTGGAAGGAATAAACACAGCTGTTTTCACGAAAGTCTTGTACAAAGTAAAACTGTGGAAGTTGATAAGCTTTTGGAAGTAAACTGTACACACACATATTATAAAAGTCTGACCAACCAAACAGTGCTATATAAGGTAACATTTCTGAAATATTTTAATTTAAGATTCAGTTAAAAAAAAAAAAGCCAAAATTCCAGAATGAGGGTCCGATGCTAGGGGGAGCTTTGATCCAATAACATACAGGCCACAGTGCCCCACACAGCTCAGCTGGTCATCTTCATGCAGTGGCCTTTCAGAGCTGTGGTCTGAGCTCCTGTGTATTAATGCATGAAGCACAATTCCTGCTCCGTGTTAACTGTTGAACAAATGATAAATGGTAACAGTTTCATCTCCCTTGGCCCTCCTTCATTTTCTTCCTCCTTTAATAATTAATTTTTTAAAGATTTATTTATTTAGGCCCTCCCTGGTGGTGCAGCGGGTTAAAGCATAGCACAAAGAAGCTTAAACCACGTCCGCAAGAGTTCGATCCCCGCCTGCCCCGGAGGAGATCCACATGGCACGGCAGACCTCTCCTGACCCGCCCGCTGCTCCCTTCAGCAGTGTACTTCGACAATCAACCTGTTCTGCTCCCCACTCTGTCTCTGGTGAAGCCTCTCACCACTCCTGCACCTCTGGCCTGTACCACTGGCAGAGTGGGGAGCAGAACAGGTTGATCGTCGAAGTACACTGCTGAAGGGAGCAGCGGGCGGGTCAGGAGAGGTCTGCCGTGCCATGTGGGTCACCTCTGAGGTGGGGGACTGAACTTGTGATGAAGTGGCTTTAGCTTCTTAGTACTGTGCTTTAATGCATTGCACCATGAGGGAGGGCTCAGTAATTAATTTTTAAGAATGTTAGCTTAAGGATTTTAACATCCTTTGCTGCATGGATTAAAAAAATTCAAATCTCTTTATATATATTTTGTTCTGAATATATGAGTTCATTTTGAAAGTTAGATGAGGAAATGAATAATGAATATAACAGAAATCGCCTATAATTCCACCAACCACAGATTATTTTTATGTGTAAACATCATAAAAGTGGCACATTTTATTGTTATGTGTTTCTTTTATCTACCAAAAGTTATGTTGTGATTTTGCCTCCACATTGTTCATTATTCTTCCATACATGAGATTCCACTGTATAGATATTTAACAGCTAACTAATTGTCTGTAATTGGGCATTTGTTACTTTCCCACTTTTTACTATTGTGTGTAAGACTAAAATGGTGAATGCGTAAGATTTATGCATTTATTGTATAAGATAAATCTTAAGGGGTGTGTATGATGTATGTATGTATGCATGCATGTGTGTGTGTGTGTGTATGTATATTGAATTTTAAGGGCTATTTTAAAACACACCGTACAGTTGAGCTATAATATATATAGTGAGAGACAATCACATGTATTTATATACATATGTATATAGTATGCATACAGATATATGCAAATACATGCAACAAATTATTCTATTTCTATAGAAAAACCAGAAAGATATAACTCTGTTCATGGAAGTTTTGAAAACCTGTGGAAAGGTAGTCTGGAAAGATTTTGGGAAAGATGAAGCAACTGATGATTTCCTAGAAACTTTTGTTTGTATCTTTGTTTGAACACTGTTTACTTCTGACTTTTGAAGGAGAGTGCTTATATATACTAAATATTTTCCAAACATCTGAGTCAGTTCCCCTTTGACTTGATCCCATTTCCTGTCAAAGATACAATGTTTTGGAAGTTATTGAAGTTGAGTGCACTGGGTTTTAAGAAATCCTAACATGCAGTGATTTAGATTTAGAAATATATGAATTGAGATTGGTGTAGCCCGACTGCAGTGTTCAGAAGCTTCTAGAACATGCCCTGTTTGAAGGGAGAGGAGAGAAGAAGCAAGGAAGTGAAATCAGTTAACACTTGTAAATAAAAATGGATGGCTACTGATAATTAATATGACTTCGAAAACATAGTTTGGGATTCTAAAAATATGACTTAGGCGAAAGCAATTTCCTGATGTGAGGTGCAGAAGTGGATGCTACATAAGCCCATTTGAATCACCTTTGGGTCAGTCCCACTTCCCAGTTGTCACCAGCTTTTGCAGCTTTGGGTGAAGTCTGTAGGCAGAAGTTCTTGCTTGGTAGTAGCAGGAACATGTCTGGGTTAGCAATTCAACTCCCATTTCCCCACTGGGCTCTTAGTGGGCTTCAGAACTTTTCTATGTGTGACTAATGGCTTGATTGAAGGATTGAAAGAGGTGACTTTTTTACATGCTTTATTTATTATTGATTTCTCTTATGAGATCGGACTTAATAACAATGCATAATTTATCCAAATCTTATAACACATCAGTCACTGTGAAAAGCTAAAGAATATAATCTCATTTCCTAATCTTAGTGCTTAACACATTTAGCATTATTTTAATTTTTTTTTGCTAATTACTTAAATTTTTTTCTTCATTGCTGTAGTCTCTATAATTCATTTCCCACCACCATATACCCACGAACCATCCCCTGTGTTCTGAAACCCTTCGCTATTGCTAATTCCTGTGACATGTATGGACATTTATGGAGGAGAGACATGTTTGAATCTATCATTTGAATATTTGAATATGGTTTGAATATGCTTGATGCGTTTCTAATCAGTACATTGCTTTTGAATGGAGGATGGCCAACAGGCCAAGAGTCTGCTCAGTTCTGAATAATTTTGCCTCTATATCCACTACCCACCCCTAGGAGGGGCAATCTTCGGAGTAATGAAAAGAGACTAGCTGTGCTATGAAAATAGAGTAGTGCAAAAAGTTTTGACCCAGGCAAGGCCTGGAGTTCTGTATTGCTCTCTCTCTGTCTCTCCCTGCCTTTTCTTTTTCTCTCCTCTCTGAGTATATGTACGAAAAAGATTCAAAGAAAATGATGCTTCCCGTGTGTATTGATTCTGCTTCCCGTGTGCATTGATAATGATATGGTGATTGAGTAAAGGGGCTGTATTGCCTTGTTCCAGGAGAAAGAGAGCCGAATCGCCAGATCACTAGAACACTGACTCAGAAATTGCTAGTTTTTTTCTGGTTTTCCTTTCCTCTAAACGAAGGTACTGTTTCTTGAATCACTGGAATATATTTTGCTTTTACTTAGAATACATTCACTTTTTTGTTTTTCCCCAAACAGAACTGTGGAAAGATAGAAGACATTGAACACCCACATATAATGAAGAATGCAGTCTTTGAAGATCAGGGATATTACACCTGCATTCATTTTGTTGATCACAATGGAAAACTTTTTAATTTCACCAAAACCTATAATATCATAATAGATAATGGTAAGAGAAATTTTTTATTCTGGAACAAATATATTTTAGTGAAATGATAGTTAGTGAAAAAATATTTAGTGAATATTTTCTTTTTTCCAAAGTGATAGAGGAAACCAGCAGCAACTGTTAGAGTTGTAGCCACAGCTATATTTCAGATATAAGATGCAAATCATATTGGTATCATTTACCTGTCCAAAAAGCCTTCTGGGAGGCAGTAAGTGAAACTTCGTAGAGGCTAACTTCCCATCAGTTAGCTCTTTTATTTGCTATATGAGTAAATTGTGAAATCTTTCATTGTTACATATGTTTTCACTCAACAAATATTTATTGAGGATGTTTGTATCCAGTAAACTGTACTGGATATTGGAAGATAAGGGAAGCAGGAAAATATGAAATAAAGTTTACTATTCATAAGGAATTTGATTAAAGTCAGGAGTGACCATACCAGACAGAGGAATTATAGTACATGGAAGTGGAGTTACCTGGGAGAAGTCAAAGTCATGGAAGGAGTCTGGAGGATGAAAAAGAGATGATCTTGGAAGCTGAGCAAAATGGATATGGACAGGCAGGAGGTTTGCTGGGGAAGGACACGTGATCACGGGATGTAAGGAGCACAGGAGGTTTGCCTTTCTGTTAGCCGAGTTCATGATAAACCTGGACGATACATACCAGCAAAATTGAAAACTGGAATTTTAGAGTAACAGAGACCTTAGAGTAATTTAATTTAAATCTCACTCAGTAAAGACATTCTTCATATGCATGGCCACAATCTCATTACTCACTCCCTTTTTGGGAGCTACCGAGGGAATTACCAAGTCACACAGCATCTTCGTCCAAACTTTATTATTTGACTTTTGAAGAACATTTCATACTAAGTCCAAATAAGCCTTCTTATCCTTCTACCAAGTGTTTTTTGTTTGACTTCAGCAACTTCACAAATCAAATTTAATTCCCCAAATTGACATGTCCTTTCAGTATTTGAAGACAGTGACTTCCACTAGATTTTCTTTTCCATCATCTTGGAAACGATAAAACTCCTGTGATGGTTCATTTAAGAACATGTTGGGTTAATAGTTACAAGAGCTTCTTGGTGTCCACAATGTTTTTCTTCACAACACCATCCACACACATTAGCTACGCCCCAGGTACTGCTAATGCAGAAATAGTCACAAGGTCCACGCCTCCAAACAATATCATTTTATCTTACGGCTTTGAGGGTCAGAAGTCCAAAATAAATTCATTAGGCTAAAATCAAGCTTTTGGCAGGTTTACAATCTTTCTGGAAGTTCTAGAGGAAAATAGGTTTTCTTGTGTTGTCCAGCTTCTAGAAGCCACTTCATTTCAAATTCATTTTCAAAATAGCATCTTCAAATCTCTCTCTCTAGCCTTTGCTTCCTTCATCATAAATATGTCAACTTTCCATTGATGGCAGTGAAACAACAAACAATATCAGTTGCAATGATTATTTCATGGAAATACAGCTAAAGTGAATGTAAAGTGATGACATTAGATTCTTCATTACAGGGGATAAGCCTATTATAATAAGTTTTTGTCTTAGGGAAACTTGGTGCAATATTAACACATTTTTATTTTCTTTTCTGACATTTAGGTTCTAGTATTTTAAGTCCGGCTCTTCATGGACCAAATACTGAGTATGTTGAAGTGGAATTAGGTATATATATATATATATATATATTTTTTTTTTTTAAAGATGTATTTATTTGTACATACAGAACTGGGGTACAGGCCAGAGGCTCAGGGGCAGTGAGAGGCTTCACCAGAGACAGAGTGGGGAGCAGAACAGGTAGATCTACAAAGTACACTGCTGAGGGAAGCAGCGGGCGGGTCAGGAGAGGTCTGCCACGCCATGTGATCACCTCCGGGGCAGGCAGGAATCGAACTCATGCGGATAGGCAGGAATCAAACTCATGCGGAAGTGGCTTTAGCTTCTCAGTGCAGTGCTTTAACCCGCTGCGCCACCAGGGAGGGCCCTATTGTTGACATTTTTAAGAATAAGTAGTCTAGTCAAGAGATAATGGAACTGTCTGTGATCTGTAGACTAGGGTTTAGCCTAGGGTTTAGAGATTTTTTTTTTTCTAGTAACTTTCATGGTCATCCTCAATATTAAAACTCAAAACACTCTAGAGAAATGAGTCAAGCTCACTATGTGGTTCAAATATTTGTTTAATTGAATCACTTTGAATCAATGACTGAATTGACCATACATTGAAACCGTATGTCCTGTGAAGCCATTTCTTTCAAAAAAAGAAAATAAGAAAGGAAAAGGGGATTCCACATATGTTAAAACAGATATTGTGGGGGGTGATGGGAATATATTATGGAATGAAATCCTCTAAGCAACATGGAGGGATATTATTTTCACTTTGAGATTCAGTTACTACTGCTCAGTTACGTAAAGTAATCTGTATAAAGTTGAGTCATTGGAAAGTGACAAATTTGTGATTCAAGTGCCTGATGAAAGCTAAAATGATGAAAGCCCACACACATCTTTTGACCATAGCTTGCATGACAGTTGTTTATATGACTACTCCACAGTGTGACTCTAATACTTTGTCATTATATTTGTATTTTGCCTGTTTTCTGTTTTCATTCATTTTTCTCTTTGTTTTTTTTTTTTTCACTTTGGATTTAATTTGCATCTCTAATTAATTTCCCCTAATTTGTTAACATGGAGAGTTAAAGAAATTAATTTTTTCAAGAATTCAGTGTTAGGGTATTCATTTCATGAAACATGTGCATTTTAAGCTCTAAATTTCCCTGTAATCACTGTATTAACTGTTCTCAGTAAAACCTACATCAGTACTTACTGAAAACAGCTAATACAGTGATTACAGGGAAATTTAACATAGGTATGTTATATCTTCATTCCTATTCGGTTTAAACATTTAAACATTGTCTTTGTGATTTTTTTCTTTCACCTATGGAATAGTTATGTTTCCTGATTTCCAAATATTTGGATGATTTTGTAGGTTTTTTTCTGTTATTAATCTCAGTTCAGTTCCATTATGATCCAAAATTCTATACTCTGCCACTTCATTCTTTTGAATTGTAACTTGCTTAAGGAACAGAATATGGATGAATGTTCTGAGTGCATTTGAAGCAAGTCTACTATAAATTTTGGTTTTATCATTCTATAAATGTCAATTAGACTAATTTGGTTAATGACATTGCTTAAATAATCCATCTATAGCCTTCATAATCTTTTATGTGCCTTCTCTACTTGTTGCTGAGAGCTCTATGTTAGTATCTTCAACTGTAATGTAACTTGCTTAGTATTGTTGGTATTTGTTTACATATGTTGTGATTACTTTGTGGGCACATACAGAACAATGCCTGCTGAACTGACACTTTTCCCATGAAATTTGTCTCTTTATATTACTTCTCTCCTCCGGGCCCACTTTCTCCAATGTTAGATAGACATACCAGGTTTCTTGTGCTTGGGCTGGGTGTGTTTTATTTTTTTCCCCCACATATTTTTACCTTTAACATTTCTTTGTCCTTCTACATAAAATGTGGCTCATATAAACTGCATATATTTGGACTGTTTTAGCAATCCAATCTGTTTAGTGTTTAGTCCATCAACATTTCACAAATTCCCATGGAATTGATTTCTGCCTGTTTTCCAAGTGTGTCATGTGGTATTCTTTTCCTTCTATCACTCCTTTCCTTTTGCATTAATAATGTGTTTTTTCTTTATTTAATCCTCTGTTTTTTCCTTTTAGTTGTGCCTTTTTGTGTCCTTAGTTAGGATATAACGGTATAGTTTGTATTCCCCTAGAGATGACAGTATATGTCAATAACATGCTGTCATATGTCAAAGATACATATGATGGCAATAAGTATGCTTGACTTCATGAGACAAATGTATGCATTATACAGTTACAGTATCAATGTCACAAACATTAACCTTATAGCAGTTTCATTCATTCTCTTCCATTTCTGAGTTATTTACATATTTCTATCCTGCATTTATTATAAATATCACAAGAGATTAGCATAACCGATTTATACTTACCCAAATATTTGTTCTGTTTTGTGCTGTTCATGTATCTCCTTGCTTTCATTTAAATCATTTTTCTTGAATCCAAAAAGTCTTCTTTGGCAATTGTGTGTACAATTTTGGCAGTAAATCTTCTAGCTATTAGTTACCTGAAAAATATTTTTATTTGTCTCAAGTTGTGAAGAACATGTTTTTATCAATATAGAACTTTAAATTGGAGTTTTCTTCCTGGACTTTAAAAATGTCTGTTTATCATTTACTGGTTCACTAGTTGCTAGATTCAGCTTTATTTTCACCTCTGATATCTCAGGGAAGAGTTCAACTATCTTTTGTGGGCCTTTTCCTATGTTGGACTTCTCCTAGGAAATCAGGAGAATTTATTAAGTCTTTGCAGACTTTTATGCTACCCAAACCCTTAGCAAAATCCTACTATTAAAATACTCACTGAGGCCCTCCCTGGTGGCGCAGCGGGTTAAAGCACTGCACTAAGAAGTTTAAGTCACTTCCGCATGAGTTCGATCCCTGCCTGCCCCGGAGGAGATCCACATGGCGTGGCAGACCTCTCCTGACCCGCCCGCTGCTCCCCTCAGCAGTGT